GACTATATCCCGCTGATTCAAGAATTGCCCATATCTCTCAAGTTCGACGGCCCTCACTACAGCAGCTGCAACAGACTCCAGAGTAGTTGTAATAGGGGGGTCGGTATGTCACCAATGACTGCCATGTGAGCATTTCCCTTCTTGTTTTTGAGTCTATTCGGCACAAGATGAGGATGAAGCTTCCAGCAGGTATCTCTTGTGTGTTTAGGCTTCTTATAATAGTCACAAAACAAATCCTTCTTGTCTTCCTTCCTGATTTCACTATCGCCCCGATTTCCACCTTGTTTAGGTTTCACAGTGCTAACCATGGTTGATTGATCAAAACCAGAATTTTTCATCATCACATTTCTCCTGCCCTCTTCTCCAAATACAAAGGTATATACCTGGGAGAGAGTAACACTGTCCCTGAAAGAATATGTTGTCTTGCAATATCACTTCTGGTACCACCAACACCCTTCTGGTGCCCTAGATGATCCTCTCACAAAAGGTTCCTTTTCTGTAGAACGGGAGAAAAGAGAGAAGAGGCAGTCGCTCTCTCTAGAGACCTCCAGAACATGCAGGACTTGAACCGCCCCCTTCAGAAAACTCCAAGGAACCCTAAAAAATTAGAGTGCCACTTCCTAGGTCAAAATTGAAGAGTCCAATAGAAACAAGACTCTCCCCCTTTCTCCAATTTTTCCTGAATTTGATGGAAAACCCTAGACCAGTTACAAGGCAAAACAAATCCACCAAAAAATCCAAAAAACTGGGCTTACCTAAGATCTTCGATCAGCCTCCCAAATCACCATGCAATCGGCCGATCTAGGGCTGCATGATAGAACTGCTCCAGGAACCTTCGGCATGCTCTAATACCAAGTAGAAATTGTTGATTATAGTTTCAGATGAATTCCTTGTGAAGAGAAAGAATAAGAAGATGAAAAGTTTCAGCAATAGAAAAGAAGAGAGGAGAAGAAAAGGAGTGGGATGTCGCCCAGAATTGAATTAGTTCTAGCCGCCAACTCCTCTTTGTATTATATACTCAAATTAAAAGAATAAGAGGTTACAAGAATGCCCTTAGTAGGGCGACTACTTAAGTAGTTGAACAGTCACAACTTAAAAACATAAACTAATGGGCCTAAGCCCAATAACTTCCTAACTTAACAACTTAAAAATAAAAGATAAACAACTGGGCCCAATAACTAGAAATCAGCCCAACTCAATAGGTTTGATAGATTCAGGAAAGTCGTTGTGAAGATTCACATAATATCAAGCTTATTATACTTTATTCAAAAGAAGAGTTGATAACCGTGTGACTATGCTAATAGTATATGTTGATGACATTGTGGTCACTAGAGACGACACCTTTGGAATTACTCAATTGAAATCCTTCCTTGCTTCTAAATTTGAGATCAAGGATCTAGGTGATCTCAAGTATTTTCTTGGGATTGATGTTACAAGATCAAAGAAAGGAACATTTATATCATAGAGGAAATATGTTCTTGACTTACTTCAAGTGGGCAAATTGGGGTGTAAGCCAGCTAAAATTCCAATTGATCCCAATCATAAATTAAGAGATGACGATGGAGATATTCTTCCAGACAAAGGTGTTTATCAAAGATTGGTTGGTCGCCTTCTTTATCTATGTTTGACTAGGCTTGATATTTCATATGCAGTAAGTGTGGTGAGCCAATACATGCACAAGCCTAGAACATCTCACATGTTGGTTGTAAATAGGATACTTGCCTATTTAATATGTTGTCCTGGTAAAGGAATGCTATATACTAACCAAGAACATCTTAAGGTTGAGGCTTATATTGATGCTAATTGAGTAGGGTTTTGGATGATAGGAGATCTACTTCAAGTTATTGGACATTCGTTGGTGACAATGTATTGTCATGGAGAAGTAAGAAACAACTTGTTGTAGCTCGATCTAGTGCTCAAGTTGAATATAGAGCAATGGCTCATGGGGTATCAGAATTGCTATGGTTGAAAAGTTTGTTGGTAGATATTGGAATACAAGCAGAACCTCTAATGCGTCTATACAATGACAATCAAGCTGCCATAAACATTGCATATAATCCTGTCCAACATGACCGCATAAGGGCGTAGCCAGGAATTTTTTATGAGGGCCAAAACTTATGGATGGGCCATAGGGGGTGCAACCATTGGGTGGAAAGTGGGGAGAGGGAGGAAACATACATGGGAAAATGCATTACATGTGGTGTTTTTAGACCATAGGGGGGGCCATGGCTCCCCTGAGTCCCCCTAGCTCCGCCCTTGTGACGGAAAAAACATATTGAAGTGGACAGACACTTTATTAGAGAGAGAATTGCTAGTGGAGAGATTTTCCTACCTTTTGTAAAGTTAGAAGATCAACTATTTGATTGTTTAACCAAGGGGGTTCCCAAACTGAAACTCGACAACAATCTTGGCAAGCTGGGCATGATAGATATCTATGCTCAGCTTAAGGGGGGTCGTGTTGAAAATATGTTTTATTTGTAAGGGCTTATTTGTCTTTCTTGGTCATTTTTTGTATTTGGGCATGCTAAGGGCATATGTGTAATTTTCTCATAATTTAAATATTTCTTTGTGGGAGTGAACAGCAACACACCCCACACTTTTGAACATTAGTTTGCATCTACTCATATATTATTATTAGTAAATATATATATATATATATACTAGTAACAACATATAATAAAATTTGCATGTTCCTATTCATACTAGGCTTTATATAAGGGGTCGGGCTCGGGCTCGGGCTCAAGATCTAGGCCTGATGGTCAGGCCAGGCTCGGGCCCAAGCCTGGACATTTTCTGTTAATAAAGAGGCAAATCCCAGCCTGGCATGAACAGGTCTAATGCCAAGGAAACGTCCCAGAACCTGCAATCTACAACAACACATCCTCCACACAATGACTTCTACCCAAACTTTCATGTTATACCTATTTCCATGAATGGACAATGGGCTTCTCACAAACCAACTGAATCTTCATCCAAACCCCAAAGTTGTAATTTAAACCACTTGGCCTCCTTCCAAGTCCTTGACATGACTAGTTTACTACTTTTATTTTGAGAAGGTAAAGTATCATGTTAACATTGAAAAATTATTTACAGCCCTCTGCACAGTGAGATTCTGTATAAACAACCAAGGGTGCTTAAAAGAACCCAAAAAAAACTCACAGCCAAGAAATGTAGGGCTAGTGTTATCCTCAAAAAACTTGTCTCTAACACTATTTATAAAGAATAACCTCTCTCTAACACTATTTCCCGGTAATGCCACAACATAAGCCTCCATATAAGTTGTATCTTCATAACTACACCCGCTTCTTTCATTCAGCAAACTATTACACAATCCATTGAAGCTACTTCAAAATCCCAGTATCACATGGCCATGAGAGAGCCTTTTGGAGCCTGCAAGTCTATCTACAGTAACAGCCTGCATCTTAAGGAGGAGTAAATATGGAAGCTTGAATTAGAAATTCTGACAAGAACCATTCTACTTACTTTTGAGATAGATATGCTATTACTCCCATCAACAGCAAGGGAATACAATAACCATGGTTGGTGAACACTTGTTATGGGCCACATCAAGCTAACTTTACCAACAAAAGCATTGAAACCTAGACACACTTAGCTCCAAAAGAACCACTTGATGCAATATGGGGTGCTAAATAGGGAAGTTACTTTTTCAGTTGACAATTTGTGGGAAAGCCTTATGAGCGTGTGGAGTATCAATATACATGGTGTAATAAAAAGATAAACATTGAGATTGGCATAAGAAAACATGAGGAATGAAATTTACAGTAAGGCTGCCATAGTTCTGATAATTTGAAATTCAAAAATATTGTGCCTGTAAAAATAAAAGTAAATAAAACCATAAAAAAAAACAAGAAAGCAAACCCACAGAAAACACGAGATTTAACATGCTTTTAATGTACTTCAGCAATGGTTGCATAAATCCATGGACGAATTCCCTGTGAAAATTCGATATAATCTCAATTACAGTTACAAACCTAACTTCTCGTTCTAGTTCCCAAGAAATATGTTTTTTTCTCTCACAAACCCTAATTCAACCCTCAATAAGAATATAAAATGCCCCCTTTCTGACCTCATACAGACATTTTCACCTTTGGCTCAGGCCACCTGGACATGGGTTCCATTCCTAGCTCCTACACTCAGTGCTCCCCAGCTGCAAGTCATCTATAGGATTTGGAGGAGGCCTATGAGCCAGTAACTCCAGACACACTCTCTCTCTCCTAAGAGTGTACCATTGAATCTTAGAAGAAAAGACACCTACATAACAATACCATGTATTCAAAAATTTACAATCAACTTCCTTAAGACTCCATTTTTTCCTCTGTAAAATGGACATAAAACTATTGATCAAGAAATGGGCATAACACTTTTCAGGCTGAACTATTTCAGTTGTCATTTTTTTATAAGTAACAGAAGTAAATTTTATTATTTAATGAACTTAGAACATGTACAAATCATGGTAGCCTCGGCTACTCCCCCCTGTAAACTCAAGACTGTAAAAAAAAAGCTATAAACCTTGAGTTCTTTAATCCTACAACTGAGCCCAAAAACAATGTGCCTTGTTAACTCCTTGTTTTGCTAACTGGTCTGCTAGACTGTTAGCCACTCTTGGAGTCCACTGAATTACCAAATGCATCTCCCTTGAAAATCTTCTGAACGTTTTAATTTCAGTTGCCATTTCCACCCCTGCCCCTCTAATTTGGTTTCAAGTAAATGGCAACGGAAACAACGTCATCTTTGTATAAGGGATGAATATATAGCTCAAATATTTCAACTAGAAAACTTTTACGCCCACAGTCTAATCAATCAAGTCAAACCACATAAAAGTTTAAGGTTATTGTTCATACGAGTCAATACAATAGCAGGGAAATTTTTTCAGATGTCAAGCAACCAAAAAAAGTAGTAAGACACACATCGAATGCTAAATTACTAATTTGTGATCTAACTTTTAAAATTAAAACAGAAAAAAAATGAGGGAATTTGACCTTATCATTGACCTCGCAGAATTTCAGCCTCTCGGTATAAATGCAATCCCCACTGCTCACTTTGAACTGATGAGAACCAATCTATCCAAATAATAATATTAAAAAAAAAAAAACATCAAGCACATTAATAATGGGTGAATTCCATCATGTACAACATAGATAATCACAGTTATGCTACTGCATAAGTCTAAATCAACCAAATAAATGGAAAATGCACAAAACCTGAACAACGGCAAAAACTGGCTCCCATGGTTTAAAAGGCCTCTCCGAAGGACCAAGAGGCCCGACCACTTTATACCCTATTGCATCTGCTTCCTTCTCTGTCTCCTCTAATGAATAAGATCTGTTCGATACACAATTTGACACCGGAATATGGTCTCCTTCTCCGTCGCCATCACTGCTTTCTCCCATTTCTTCTTCGTTTTCGTTTTCGTCTTCGTCTTCGTCTATATCATCATCTTCGTCGGCCTCGTTGTCATCGTCGTCGTTCTGGGGTTTACTAGAATTTCTCCTTCCAGATGAGTAAGGGCGAACGGTTTGGGACTGAATGCAGGACGTAGATTCGAATGTATGACCGATACGATAGGTGATTGAGGTGGGATTTTCAAGCAAGAGAGGATCAGATGCAACAAGGGTGCGAAGTTGATGAAGAGCTCTAACGCTTTGAAACGATGAGTTTAAGGAGGCTAGAGATCGAAGCTGATGAGTGAGAGCGTTGAGGCATCGTCTGCTCGCCATGATTTCTGCTTCAATGCGCGTACTGGCGTTTCAGGCGTTTCAGCTGATGGGCAATAGAGAATCGAACGAGCACGAGGGGTTTTAGTTAGGGGTTAACCTACACGGTGCGTAAAATGGGCTATTGGGCTTTGGAATTAGTTATCCAAACTCCAAAGAGTAACGCTAGGCCTAGCCCGCTAGCCGACCACTCAGGGCCCATTTGAGAGGACTGAAACGCATCGAGCGGCTGAGGGGTGCTCACGGTTCGGTTAACCGAACCATAGACAATTTTTATAAACCGAATCGGTCTTATTGGTTTTTTACCGAAATCAAATGAGAGAATGACGGTTCAGCCTAGGGTCAGAATTTGTAGGTTTAGTATATTTGAGATAGGGGTCAGCTCGAAATTTATACCAATTTACGGATAAGTATGAGTGCATAGATGTAGTTTTTGGATGTTTTGAATATTTATAGCTGTACAGTGGGAATCAAATATCTGCATTGGGTCTGATCGTACTTTTCTGAAATCAAAATGATAACCGGTTTATTAATTTCGATTTTTTACCAGTTTGATTATTTAGTTTTTCAAATATATTATAAATCAATATATAATATATTATAAATGTGTATATTATATTATAAATACTATAAATATATACAATATATTGTATATTATAAATAATATGTGGCACGTATTAAATATATAATATACATACAATTATATAATTGATCGGCTTAATTAACCACCAATTTTTTTAGGTCAACCAAAAACTGAATCGTCATTCGGTTTTTCAGAAATACGAACCAAAACTAAATCGATCAATTTGGTAGCAACATTTTTCAGTTAGGTTTTTTGACTTTTTATGAGCAACTCTTGGCTTTCTGTAATGGACCATTGTACCCATATGGATAGCTTGTAAGTTTATTTGGGTAAAAATCCAAACACCGACAAGCTAAATCGGACGTCAGTCGGTTATCAAAAGCGTTGTCCATTTAATCATCTTTGAATGGTTTTAACAAGAACACTTCAAAGCAACGGAATCTTCAGTTTAACTAATCTAGTTCAGTTGCTTTGAAGTGGCTGTTTTGGTTCAACTACGGTGTTCACGGTCTGGTTTGATACGGTTTAGAGAATATATCAAATCAAACCATTAAATTACGGTTTGAGAAATTCACAAACCAAATCAAATTATTTTGGCATGGAAACCAAACCAGAACAAACCATTCTATTACGATTTGGTGTGGTTTTTAATACGGTTTAGGGAACTTTGGATCATTCTTTGATTCTATTGGTCTTAACCCAATTAGAAAGCCCAAATAGCACCCTTAAAATTAAAACTTAAAATTTTACTTATTATTTTATTATAAAATGAAAGAGTTTGTTATATATTTATAATTTTATACATTCAGTTTAGATATATTGTATTATTATATAAATATTTATACACCATTTATATATATATATATATATATATGTGTGTGTGTGTGTGTGTGTGTGGTTTACGATGTAGTTCGGTTTATAAAGTCCAAGAAACCAAACCGAAACTACAACCGCAATTTAGCAAAATATGAAACCGGACCAAACTGTTTTCACGTACAAACCGAAGCAAACTATAAATTTAGTTTGATTCAGTTCAATTTTGTAGTTTGAACCAAACAATGAACAGCCCTTGATTCAACTATTTCTGCAAGGGCTAAACAAAATATTCAATTAAGCTGGTTCAATTGATTTGAAACACTCCAGATAAATTATTTAAAAAGGCTGAGGCTGCATTTGGCATTCCTTATTTTAAATGACACATCTCCTTTTTCTATTTAAAATGCCCTTATGAACACCAAGTTTTTAATTGCAAAAAAGGAGATAAGTCCTTAAAATAAGGAATGCCAAATGTAGACTAAGGTGGAAAGCCCTTCTATAATGATTGGGTTACTAATCATTTTGAGCTTTCTTCATTTTTCAACTAACATAACTTGCAGATGTAGGTGGTATGTGTGGGACCCAATTTAAAAACCTAGATGCCATTGTGCTTCAACCCAAGTTAGGATTTCTTCTAATGAAAAAAAAAATGTTATTTTGCATTTTCATTTATTACTACTTATTTAATAAATTGACACAAAAGTACCTTTTTTGTTCTATAATTGAAAAACAAGCTAGTCATTTTACAATTTTTTGTTTAATGCTTATGTATACCATCTTTATCAATGTTGCTGTTAAAAATGCAAAAGAGGTCTAGATTTTGGATTTTTTACTAAAATACCCTTACTCTTTGAACTTGGTTTCCCCATATTTATGAGGGTCAAAAACATAGCTTGGAACTACTACTTTTATTAAATTCATTATACTCCTCATCATTAAGTCCTATATTTAAGATATTAATTCTTTGTTTCCTTTCATTAAATATTATATCTAAGACGCACTAAATAAATGAGTTTTGTGGACTTTTCTTGACTAAAACACCCATATTTATGAATTTAATACCTCTTTAACTATGTTGGCCAAAAATGTAATTTAAAGTACTATTACTTTCCACTTCATTAAATTTCCTCTCATTAACTATCATTCATTCTCCTTAGATACTTTATTTGAAATATTTTTATCGCCAATAAATTCTACAAAGTAAATATATATCTAATATTTTTAATAATATAAAACCTATGTCCAAAACCAATATGAAAAATAATTAAATAAACCACCCTTTTAACTTAATGGTAAGTAAATAGATCAACCATTGGCATTAAATGGGTCAACCAATGTTATTATAGTTAAATAATAAAATTTTAAATAAATATAAATATAACAAAAATTATAAAAAATTAGGTGCATTTCTAATATTATCTATCTATCATATCAAATAACATTAAGCATGCAAATTAAAATTATTTTTATTATATGGAAATTAAATGCAAGATTTAAAACTAACCAAAAAATGAAACCATTTCCTGTTCAAGTGGTGGCTCAATGATTCCACCTTTTAGGTCAAATGGATTAACCCATGATATCATAATAAATAATAAATATTTAAAAAAGATAGACACAAAAATTATTAAAAACATAGAAATTTTGTAAAAAACATTTAGGTGCATCTTTAATATTAGGGCAAATTTCTTAAACTATCCTTATTGTTTAGCTAATTGACAAACTGTATCCTTAGTGTTTAATTATTGTCTTAAATTACCCCTACTATTTTTGACAATTAACTAGCTCTACCCCTGTCGTTAGTGTCCATTAATGTTTCGTAAGAATCCGTACACATGTGACACCACATAACATATAATTTTTTTTAAAATCCCAATATTACCCTTCATCCTCGCCAAAGCTACAGCTTCGATCCCCAAATCAATTATTTACAAGCTAAACGCTAATGCTGATTATAGGTCCCACAATTGCAACTGTGGTTTGACATCAAAATGGGGTTGGAGCCAGTAAGCAAGCGAAGGCAGGGAGACCAATTAGACTGGGGGTGCTTTTATGTTTTTTGTCTGAGTCAAAATACCTCCATTGCTGTAACTTCTAGCAGTGGGGTGCTTCTATCTTTTCCCTCTTAGTCTCCCTTCTTTCCCTCTCTCTATATCTCTCACTCTGTCTCCCCTCCTTTTTTCTTCTTCTCTCTCCCCTTCTCTCCACCGCCATAATAGACCTCCCATGTTCACCTTCTTGAACCACTAAACAAACGGTCTCGAAAATCAAAATGGAGCTTGTTGATTCAAAGAAGAAACCGTTGCATCTTCCCTTAGATCAGAACATGGGAAGAAAAGAAGAAGAAACCTTAAAATAACAACCATCGGTGCCATTGGTGGTTTCATGTTGATCAACAGCAAACATTGAAGGAGACACACAAAATCATTTAGAAAACCTAGCAAAAAAGAGTGTTGGTGTGCTTCGAGGCATTGAACCCTATTTAAAAAGGCATCAACATCATCGGCAATTCTGATAATCCACAAAGCCCAAATCTCTAAATTTTCTATTCTGGTCACACTACAAGAAAAATGACCTTTGGCAACAGTCAAAAATTATTTCTAATATATGAAAAACTGTTACAACTAAATGAGTTGTTGCTAGCAAAGCCATTATTAAAAGTGTTTTGCAACAATCAAGTGTTGCGAAATATGTTTTTTCACAACAATCAATCTAATTGCTAGAAAAAATAGTGTTTTGCAACAACCATTTGCAACCGTCACCAAACAAATTCTTTTAGCAACAATGCATAAAAAGTTGTTGCCCATATAGTTTTTTAGCAACAACTGATTACTTGTTGTCTAATGGTACCATCCCTAACAATCATGTTAGCTATTGCTAATCCTAAATTTGCAATAGTTGAAGATTTGTATCTAACAATCATCTTAGGCAACAATTTGTATAAACTGTTGTTGAATGGGAAACAATCAAACAATTGTTGCCCCAAAGTTCCTTATACAATGATTAAGTTAATTGTTGTCAATTGTAAATTAGCAACAACTGAACAATTGTTTCTTACAAATATTTATGGAAACAATTTTTACAAATTGATGTTGAATTAATAACAATTAAGCACTTGTTACCTTAAGCTTCCACACACAACAATCAAATCAAACATTGCTAATTGTAAAGTGGCCACAATTGAATAAATGTTTCTCATAAATATTTTAAGCAACAAACCTTGTGAACTGTTATTAAAATACATCCCAACTGTATTTATACACAAATGTGTTAAAATTATATTACAATTTCTAAATTGTTATCATAAATAATACAATTAATACATACAAATTTGGTCCAATGTATCCACCTACATATCTAAAGTTCTTCGGCTAAGTAACCATAGTAACGAATTGAAAATGATGAATAGCTCATGAGAGGTTGATTCCACATCTTAAAGAGCTCCAACTTTATTTTACATGTAACTGTCTTGTGATGGAATACTTGGAGCATGTCTCATTCCTTCAAAAAATAAAATATAATAAGTCAAAAAACAAAACAAAATGAATCAAGCATCAAGTGGCCCTTCTTTTTGCAACTTATTTACAAATTAAAATTACATGTATACAAAAATTAAAGTTACATGAATTGAGCATCAAGCCTCATTATTGTTTTATACTGTGAAGGTATTTCCATCA